CAAGTTTGAGGTTTACAAGCCGGTTTCTCGTCCTAACGCATCTTAGGCCTCACAATATTCGACTCAACCCGACTTCTCGTATTCACCTCCACACAACTTTCCCAACAATAAATTTTGGTGCCCGATTCAATTCAACATAACTTTCACGACAGATGTTATAAGCAACCTCTTAATGAATTACAGCAAGACAAAGAAGTCATATGATAAGAAATTAAAGTTAACAATGACAGATTGTTGATGACAATTTAAATGTAATTTAAAATCAAGAAGAGACAAATTACTATATACAGTTTCGTCAGCTTAACTGTCAGTGATACAGATCTCAGCTGATGTGAATAATTTGATATCACAAGTTTCGGATTTTTCGACAATTCTGTCTTTTAATTTTATTCATCTCCTATCACTCATTTCTTATCGATATCAAGGAAGATGGAATTCACTGAGAACAACTAAACATTATCAAACATAGCTAAAAATGAAAGATTACAAAATGAGTGCGACTTGATTTTGAAAAAAATCAAATGTGAAATTCTTTTCTATATTGTATAACAAATTATCACCAGTCTTATCTAACAAGTAATTATTCAAACATAAATTTAGCCGTAACATTCAATAATCCAGTTTGCTACTTCATGGGCAACCACTTCTCCGTGATTTAAGACGAAAGCATGGTCACACTTCTTGTTATCAATTATAACTAAATCTAAAAATCATATAAAAATCCGGAGGAGTTATGTAACTTGGATAATTTTGATTACTTGACATTTAAGCAACTGAAAAAATAAATAATAATAATATATGCTCATTCTGCTCATTCAAGGCCTAGAAAATATAACCGCCTGCCTGTAAAACTTTCGGCAGTCTTACATGACCATTTTGTACTACATGATCACTTTTATGCAGATAACAAAACTCCAGATAGTTGCAAAATTACCTTTTCCAAGTTTTTTTTGCATTTCTAAACCATAACATAATGGACTCCACCGATCATCAGTTCCATAGAGAAAACGGCAACGATCACTGTAATGCAGAAGGGATTCGTCTAAATGCGAAATCTGAAAAAAAAGCATCACTTTTTTGTTAATGTTAGAACAAACCCATACTAAATTTAAACTTGTTTGTACTCAAACCGTAAATAATTCGTCCATTGCCATGAAAATAATATTTCGAATGACGTTCACATCGATGATTTCAACGGCAGTTTGTAGTATGCAAGGCGGAAAGCAGCCACTGTGATTTCTCATAAGAAAAGTGCAGATGCACTTTTTCATAGAATTAGGCATATATCTCAGCCAAGATAGGACCACTTGTAAAATACAGTCCCACTCACAAAACCTCTATAAAATATTGAAATTATCTCATTTTTCTTTAATGTCTTGATTGAAATCTATAGAAACTGTAACTAAGAATAATTTCAGCTCAAAAAAGAACCGAAAGATGTAAAAATAAAATTCACACTGAAATTAATAAAATTTATCCCTAGATTTCGACGATACATTCAAATATTGATTTCTTATAAATCAACCTTCAACCATGGCAAAAGACGTTCACCATTTGGTGATTCTGCTAAACGTTCAATAGTGGGAAATAAAGCTATACAACGAACAACACTGAATTCATGCTTCAGCAAATCAGGTAATATCCTGAAATTGGTGAAAAAAATCTTTTCCGACGGTGAAAATATTAATTCCCAGACGACTGTAAAGAAAAATCCATTTGACCGGCTATCTTAACATTTGATAGAATCTGACACAATATTTGGAAAATCTACTCCATAGATTATTAGAGAATTTTGTGAATTACGTTTCAAGCATTACTACAATAAAATCTAGAAATCTCATGAAATGTGTTATAGAAAATAAATCTAAATGATAAGAAAAAAAAATTTCAACCTTAGCATAATGTAAGAACCAACAGAATGTCCAATGAGAATGAGTTTTGTTTTTTTAGTTAAATACTGAAGGCAAAAATTGGATTTATGTTTAATTTGCTCAGCCAATGGAATGCGATCTAAAAAGGTTAAGAACAAATTTCAAAAAAAGGAGACGAAACACCCTCATAAAGCTATCCTTTCATTAAATAAATGTTTGATAATGGAATTTGATTTTTAGAACTTTTCTAGCAATTGCAAATCTCGATAATTATAGTGAACGACCTTTATACAGATAATGATTAATGATTGTATTGTTCAATATGTTATCATACTACTGAGATCTATCGTAAAAATTCAAATTATAGTTGACTTTGAAAATAATGAATGACAGTACCGGTGCAATTAGAGATACTCATTTCCGAATATTCTCGAGGCATCGGGACATGATTCAGATGAGAAATCGTGCAGAAGAGAGAATTTTCCTCTGACATTCCTGATATTTTGCTCAAAACTTCCTGTCCAAAATGGTCATAGAACTGTTCATTTCCAGGATTACCTGCATAATGATATATGAATAAGACAGCATGCTATTCAAAGCTATTTCTGCAATCAGAAACTAATAAATTATTTTACATACAGTGCATCTAATGCATATTGTACAATATGACGAATATAACGAAATTATGATACGTAATATTTCAAGGAATATTAGGAATACTTTATAACAAAGACACAAGTAACAATTTCTTGAATATTAATTATGCATTAAATAGTTTCACTTACAAAGATCATACAAACTGTACGTCACATAAATGTGGCTATTTCAAATTGAGCCAGTTCCTTTAACATGCATTTCAATGAGGAAAAAGATTGCAACTTTAATCATTCTAATTAACAAAAGATCGTTGATTGAAATGATTAAAGTTGCTAATTCAATACTAAACGATAAAAAAATATACGAACCCGGGATCATCAATATAATCAAGCCAGTAAAATCAGATAGCGATATTGTGGGATCGTACTTCAGTCTATTACCCAAAATTGAAACGCGAGTGAATCTTCCTAACACTGGTAGCCATACGACCGTTCTCCGGATCTCTTTTCCCGTTTCCATTCTTCAATTCGTAGACTAATTTATTACAATTCTGTTAATACTTGATACGGAGAAAACTGGATCCTTGAAATCAAACATTATCAGGATAGTCATAACGAAATCAAATCTTAAAACACAAAATATCACGTCTGTTGTAATGCTAGGGACAAAAAGGGAAGTCTTGATAAGGCATACACATCATTCGTAATATTATCGGGAATTATCTTAATGACATCACTCGAAGATTAATGATGTAAGATAAAAAGCAATGATGAAAACTAAGAGGTGTCATGCGACATGGGGGAGAAATTTGTCAATTCGAAAAAAAGTTTGCAAGAGATAATAATGTAAATGAAAAATGCAAAAAGAGTGACAGGAACTGCGGGTTCGCATAGGAGCACCGAAATCCAATCAGCGGGTGATTTTAGGGAAATACCTCAAGCTTTTTTCGGAAACCGATCAATATGTGAAAATGTTAGCCTAGAGTCAATTAGGCTGCTCCTGAAACTTCGAGCAACTATAGAAATCTTCCATCACATTTCGGTATGATTTTTAGATTTAGTGATAATTGACGACAGGAAGTGCTTCCCTGTTTAAATAGTGAGGAGAAAATAAAACATTTATTGATCCAAAAAAAAGGAAATTCGCAAAATGGAAACAATTTAAAAACAAATAGAACATCGCGCAAACATAAGAAAAAATAATAGAAAAAAGCCATGACTCATTGAATGCATGGTCTTCTCAGTAAATGGACATAAATTATTTTCATATCATATTAAGTTCCACAGCTCCAGCATTATTCCAGAAATCTTTAAGCTCCTTTAACTCTTTAGACTATTTAGTTATCCTAAGCTTTATGGTTACACCTTTATCAATTACCGAGTATTTGAGGTCGGTGAATTCAGCAACAAAATGAGCAATATTTAAGTGAAAGTCAACAACAAAATTTAATTTTCGGAAAAAATTAGATAATATACTATCAGTACTGATTTAAACGTTTAGTGAGTACGCAGCCTCAATAACTAAGTGTTCCAAAAAAAAAGGAGATGACCGAGGCGAAGCAACACTGGTATTTTTAAATCTATCTTCAATTTTTTAAGAATTTTAGGAAAAAGATGTTAAAAATTAATTTTTATTTTGCTCACAGAGACCCATTCTTTTTAGCACTTCTCCAGAGACTGCAGCTATAGAATCATTGAAAAGATGATGTATCGAGCATGGAAGCAAGACTCTGAACGATATTATCTGCAAGCATTTCATTCACCGTTTCACCTAAGTGCCTCTTTGGATCTTGTTTCCCCACATTTTTTACAGCCAGCTGTTCTTCCGTCATTTTCTCCTGTTCTTCGAGATCCTGAAGTCAGAATATATAATTTTCGTGTTAAATTAAATAAGCGAAGAAAAATTGGAAACATAATATAATGAAAAAAACAAACTTTTTTGTAAAGCTTCGCCAATTTCAACATTTTTTGCATAGATGCTTGATTTTTCTCACAGTGATCAGAGAAATGTTCCAGACCGAGCGAATCCATCCACGTTTGTTTATTTAGATTCAACAGCATCTAAAGGAAACAAAGATTACTGAGAGATTCTATTTGATGTTATAGCTTTACGGATATGCGATCCAAAGAAAACATTTGTGCCTAGCAACATGAACTCCATTAAGTGGCAAATAATGTACTTTCTGTTCAAGCTCGTGAGTTCGATAATTGATTGGAATCGAATAATAATGTCGATTGAGACCATGAATTAATGCTTGAATAGACGGCTTTTGCAAATGTCCAAGATTTGAAGTGGTTTGACGTGGCTCCTGATTAAGTGCTATAGATTGCGGATTAATCGTTCGAAATGCATCAATTACTACCTGAATTCATTTACTCAATAGGACAGATATTCGAAAGTGGTTCTCAAAGAATATGAATACAAGTAACCAGTCAGATATGTGTAAATTGAACAAACCTTTCCTTTGACAGACTGAATTGGATCGACCACCACAGCAACTGCCCTATCTGAAAGAGCTTCAAAGCTCTGTTGCGTATTAATATCGACACCTGACAGCCAACAGCCGAATCCTGGATGTGAATGGTACCAGCCAACAACCATTTCAGGTCGTCCTGTTTGTTTCAACATATCTAGCATTTTGGCTTGAAACACTGGATCTACTGCTTCTACTGACACTCCCTGCAATTACTGATAGCATTTGTCAGTTAATGCGAGGTAAAAAATCATACAAAAAAATGATTCTGTAAAGAAATATCAAGTTTTAGACTAATTCCAATTCATGGAAGAAGTCTCATTATTAGAAAGAGAATAAAACCTGATAGCTTGATAGGAATAAGTTACCGTGCCAGACTGCGGCATTGCGAACACATCGATAACGTTCACCGTATATTCATCTACAAATTCTCCTAACATTAAACCCATAACCTGAAAATTTCCATTATCATTAAAATGATATTCCTGTTTTCTTCCATCATTTTATCCTAGTAAACGAGAAATGTATAATGATTACCTCCATGGGTACACCTGCACGACCATGTTTCAACATTTTGAGTAAAGCCAGTGATGATATATAGACTGTTTCGGATGTGTCTACTTGATTGCTGTCTACCGGACTGGCATTTCCAAACTGAAAACTATATAATTAAATATGGCAGTTCTCAATCTGAGAAGACACATGAACTTTCCTCTACTAAGCCACTTTTTCTCACAACATTACGAAAATGACTAATTCCTCCCCATCTTTCCCTTCCTCTGCTATCTTCATCACTTGAATCTTTACCACAGTAATTTTAAAATGCTTTCAAGAAACCAATTATCAAATCCGTTTATAAAACAGTACTGCGATCTAATCTAACTGACAATTCATCCTCTACGTATAGCACGCACTAATATAAAGAAACTGGAACTTTGACTAATTTAAACTTGTCGATACATCAAAAATTTACATTACTAGATCTATGAGAAGCAATAATCAAGCGTATTTAACCTGAGAGCCACTGAGACCACCAAGACCACCGAGACGTAGAAACCGTTCCATTGTTCTCCCGTTCCTGTAATTAACAAGCGCGAAAACTATCTCACTATCATAACGTACGTCAAATTCTTAACACGAAATCACCAAAACAATGAAAAAGAGAGATAGTCAGCCAATAAATCTCAATTTTCTTACATACTGAGGAATCGTGACAATCAGAAAATCTCTTACAGAGATGTACATACGTCATCCTTTAACGTAGCTTTTGTTAACGAGGATTTTTACAAAACATTTAAGTAGAAAAGTTGCTTACGAAAGAGAATAAAAGAAGAGAGGGGGAATAAAAGGAAAGAAACGAGGATGAAAGCAAAGGGAAAGAGTAGAGAGAGAGGTCACTTCACTTTTCGCATCTGATACATCCACACATTCCTTTTTTTGACGAAAGCACAATTGGTTATATCGTTGCGACAAACCACGACCATCGAACCATTGTGAAAACAACGGAGATCAACTTTGTTCGTATTACGTGATCAGACGTAGGAATTCTTACAGTGTCACGTTACAGAATATTATAATGTAGAAAGACATACTGAACATGATCTAAATTTCATAGAAATTTCATAGAAAGTGAGAAATGATACACTGAATATACCGAAAGAATATTAAGCAATCTGAATGTGACATATAGTCAAATTTAAACTTGAATACATTAATTAGTAAAATAATACAATGCACTAACAATATAGGAAGAATCACGTATGGAATTAAAAATGAATAATTATTATATGAAGATTTTAATGCTACTGCTAATATAGTATGTAGCATGTATAAAAATTCACGAGTTACGCTTTCTTAAATTTTTCTTCTATACCTATTTCAGTGACCTCTCACCTGTAGGTGAATTTCACTTTAACGATGACAACTTTTGTGAAGGATGAGTATGCTTCTACAGAATGGTAAAAATTGCGACATTACGCGCATATCGCTTATTACATCATCATAACATAAGTCTGATTGAATTATAAGTTCGCTTGATTCGATCTGTAGTTAATCAGACAAATTTAAATGCTCATATACTGGGGAGTGTATATTGGAGAGTTTCGATCAATAAAAATGATAAGGCTCATGAAAGGACTGTCATCAATTTACATTGAATCATTTACTGATAAGCATATCACCTATATATAAAAATGAGTGGGAACGGAGAACATTTGTTCTCTCGCATTTCATTTTTCATCAAAATTTATTAGCACCTACATATATTCATTCTTTTTCTATTTTGAATCTTTTTCAAAGCACAGTATATCCTATCAATCCTACGTGGCTATATTGTTGCTTAGCAATAAAACATGTAATTTTTACTCCAGTATTTTTATCTTACTGAATTTTCTTTACTAATAAACATTTTCATGACATATTTTTATGTGAATACTTTCACTTTAAGCGTTTTTTGCATTTCAATGCTTCGGTTAATTCATCAAAAAGATCAAAAATCAGTGAAATACATAAAAGTGAGTGGAAAACATTTGTTCTCCGCATTTCATTTTTCATCGAAATTTCTTACCACAAGTCATTCCTGCAATCCTCAAATTAGCGAAAAGCAAACTATCGATTATGCTGTCTCGATGTCTGCTTCACTGTGCCGCAATCTTTTTTTTCTCATTTTCTATATTCTTATCGATCTCTGTCGTCTCTTCACAACATATTATCACTATTAGCTCATTAATTATACTAACTCTTATTTTCCCCGCATAAATTCCTTTGACAACTTTCAATACTATTTGTTTGTTATTATTTTTTATAAGTGCATTCTTCGGCACAACTTTTCATTACATTCAGGAAAGTTAATTGTACATAAGTGATTATGACTTATTGTTAGCCAGGAAAAAATTTTATCTTCTAATAATATAGAATGGTTTATGAATTCAAGCAGATTCGAAATATCAAATATTTTAAATTAAATTAGCTTAATTCCTTCTGAACTCAATTGAAGTTAGCTTTATCTCTCATTATTTTATTTGAAATTGGCTTTACTCGTAGTCACTCTTACTCTTGCTCGTAGTAATAAAGCGAAGTTATAATATTACGTATGTTGAAAGAGGATGATATCGATATGAGGAATCTTCCTGAAATCTAATTATAGACGACGCTTCCAGTTTTTTGCATACGATCAATTCAATTTTTTTTTTTGGATTAAGTGATGAATGATCAACGTAAATATTCCTGAGTTTAGCTTTTTTAATATTTCAATTTTCAGATTCATTAGGAGTGATAGTTAGATGGTATGCACTGGAAAGCTACAACAATCCTTATTTGTGCATACGGAATAGTGAAGGAATTCCGGCCAGCAACACCTTTCCTCACTCCATACCTCGTTTCATCCTTTAAGAACTTCACTGATGTCGAATTGTATAGCGAAATTTATCCATTTTGGACATACTCATATTTGCTCTTTTTAGTATGTTTTTCATTTCTTTCCGACAATTTTCAGTCTTTTTAAATCAGAATTGGTTTAGATTATTTGATTCTAAATTTGAACTCTTTACTTTCAACCATTACGATCAGTGATAGATTGAAAAATGTACTGTGATATAGAAAATAATCGATTTATATGATTGAAAAAAGGTAGAATGTAGAAAGTTGATTTAATATTTATCGTCTTGCAGGTGCCAATATTTTTCCTGACTGATATCTTACGATATAAGCCGATCATTGTATTAGAAGCTCTTAGTTTGTGTGGCACTTGGGCGCTCCTATTATGGGGTAAAACCGTATGCCATATGCAGATTATGCAAATTATTTTTGGTATATTATTTTATAATTGTTGCAAAAACCGTATCCATATTTCTTTCTCTCAGTAAATTAATCGTTCCTCTCAGTACATTTGTTAGGAAGTGTTTTGAGATAAAATGATAGATGTTTGCAACTACTGCCAAATGTATGTAAGATCCTTCCATAATAATCAGTCTAAAACAATGAATCTATAATGATTATATCCTTTTCTTTTGATTGACTCTTTAGCGCGTAAATAAATTAAGAAAATTTAAATTAAATGAATGGTGAATTATGGACAATTTTTCATCTACATTCTTCGATAAATATTTTTAAGCTGAACAATTCATCTAAATCAGAATTCCATTAGCCATTTAATGATCTTACATCTGTGAACAAGTGGAATCATAGGCAGCTGGTTGGAATGTTTAGGCTGTCTTGTACTGAAAATATCCCAGCCAATTATTGCAAATCTGTTATTACAGGAATATCATCGGCTGCGGAAATAGCTTATTACTCGTATTTATACGCAGTAGTTAATCAAAAATATTACAAACTTATCACATCTTATATACGGGCTGCTGCCTTGGTTGGAAAATTTTTTGCCTTTGGTCTTGCTCAATTCCTTATCTCATTTCAGTATGGGTCATACCTTCTTTTGAATCAGGTGAATATTCCTTTTTAATTTACTATTTAATCTTTCTTTTATAAATTATTAAAACCTCTTTCAATAGAATGAGATTAAAAGTACTTTATTAAAAATGATTTCATCATTTTTAATAAAGTACTTTCAATTTAACCTTGTTCTTCATCATTTTATTATTGTTAACTTTTTGTTCTATTGCTAATTGATGCTTTTCACATTGTACTGAGTACATCAAAAATATAATCTCAGAAGTTGGAATGTAAATTTCTTTTTACTTTGTGAGAATCATAATATAAGTTTACTGGATTAAATACCTCATGCTGTATTGATGTAATGAGGCTTACGGTATGCATACTGTATTGATGTAATCACAATTTAAAGTACAAAATTCATTTCTAAAATTTACATTACTATTCTTGAAATTTGAGATGAATTATTATTAGAAGTATGTATGTTTTGATCAACTGAATAATTCTTTTTACAGATATCATTCGGTTCAGTTTGTACAGTTCTTGGGATTGCTATCGTTCTTCCATCGATACCATCCAAATTAAGTGCAAATAAAGTTATTGAAATTGATGAAGATACGGCTAAACGTTCTCATATCACAGTAGATTATGAAAGCGGATTGCAAAATAAGGAACAAAATTTTGAAGAAAAGTATACATTAAAGAAATTGAAATGTATCATACTTCATTTTATACATTATAATTTTGTTTTTTATTATTGCTCTGACTTCATCATTTTTTCTTCACTAATTTTAAGCTAACTCCAATAATATTTCGAACAATGTTTTCTTTTTTCACCTTTTGTTGCTCATTAAAACAATTTTTTCTAATGCACACTTTTACATTACTTTGATTTGAGCTATTCCAGAGCTGCTCTAAATGCCAGTACGCTCAATGTTGACCAGGGAATTGCCGCTTATTTTCGAGCGATTTGGTATTGTTTTAAAATTTTCAAGCGCAATAAAATTGTCCTGAAATGGAGCATTTGGTGGGCGCTAACTAGCTGCGGTACTTTTCAGGTCGCACTTTTTGTTATATTTGTTTCATTATATTTAATGATTAAAAAAAAAGTCAGAAAACTTTATAATTTGTTCAGAAGTCATTTGCTTCATTTTGAATTTTTTTGAAGTTCTGCTGAAGCTTTCATTTAAGGTTATGAATTATGTACAAACATTATGGGCTACAATGCAAACATCTTCTGATACATACAATGGTATTACCGAATGTACCAACACTTTTATCGGTATATTTACAGGCTTCTTTTAGTAGCTTTTTTATCCACCAGCTCAATATTATCATGCCTTTTGACAACGACCGCGTTTGAATTAGAGCAAACTGGAACACTTGATAGCTAGTATGGGAATAAGCGAAATGGAAAATTTGATTTGCTAATGGATAGGTCCGTTTGTTTAAAATGAAAAAATAAAAGAAAGTGAAAAAAAAGTATGTTTTAATTTATTAAATTTCGTTCACAGGAGCATTTATCAGCTTTTTGGTACAGTATATGAACGTGAATTGGTCAAAACGGGGTGAACACGTATTGTTGATCACGTCAGCGCTTATCGCTATTTTTCTTGTTATTATGGCTCAAACGGAAATTGTTTACATTACATACGTACTCTATGTTGTCGTGATAACTATTTATCACCTTCTGATAACAGTCGCAAGGTTGGTTTTATCTATTATTATTAATACTATTATTATTACTACGAAAAAAGTCACAGTGTTAAATAATTAGTTTAATCTATCGCTTAAGTAGATCACCATTTGAGGCAGCTTGTTACATAGGTAATTTGTTATAGGTGTGGTTTGTTCCTAGAGAGTTTCTAAATGTTTCTGTCCCCTCTCAAAATGTTTTGACAGCACAATTTATAATTTCATTTTACAATGATTATTATATCCATATTTGTCTAAACAGCTACCATTTTATTAATCATTCGATTAATATGGTATAAGAAAAAAATATTTAAAGCCAAATTTATATTTCGATATAATTTTATAAATAAATTTAAATCAAGTTTTCAATTTAGTGTGAACATAGCAACGCAATTAGATTCTACAAGCTATGGACTGATATTTGGTTGGGATACCTTTCTGGCTTTGTTTTTACAAACCATCCTAACATTTGCAGTAGCGGACAAACATGGACTCTCTTTATCAATCCGAACTCAGGTTTTCTCATTTATCTTTTTAATTATGATATCATACACTTATCTGTGATGATATATTCAAGAAATGTAATGACAAATAGGATATTGGAAGAACGAAGCATTTAGACCATTTAGACGTTTAGCAAACATGCAATGACCAGCTCAATGTGTATAAATGACACTGACAGTTATAATTAAACGTGAACAGTTGTATGAGATGTATAAATGCATTTCAGTTCATCGTTTACGGATGTTATTTTGCCCTAATTGCTATTGTATTTACTCTGATACTTTGCTGCAAATTCGTAAAATATGCATTTTGCCGGCATTCAGTTTCAAAGTGATGTCCACCGATCATACAACTACACGCTAATACACTTATTAGCTATTCATTTTTATTTATCGATTTTTGTTCGCAGAACTTTTCTCACACATTCATCTATTATAAATTGAATTTAAAGAATTACTAATTAGGCAAAAAAAGATCATAAATTGCTGACAGATAAAAAAACCTATTCCACAGATGTTAGTAAAAATCGGCTAATTATTAGTCAGATAAGGTTATTTATGTGGTAATATTCATTGTATGATAATGAGCTGCTTAAAAGAGCCAATTTAACAGATAATTTAGTCAGTGGAAAATATTTCATGGAACAATGATCAAATAAGGTGTGGGTAATATGCGATACTAAACTTAAGCATGATTACTTTTTTTAACGATTTAATTTTTAGGTGAAGATTATTTGCATGTATAGAGAAATAAGAGATGAAAAAGAAAATGAATGAATGTTCTGAAAATAAGTTGATTGTTATTTTGAGGGTGATGGTTCGAATTATTTTAAAGTTATAATTTACAAAAATCGTTATGAGTAAATACTCCAAAAGTTTATTTTAAATATATCCTGAATACCTGTGCTTATTAAATTGGATACCTGTGCTTATTAAAAAAATTTTCTTCTGTGCTTATTAAATTTGATAGAGTTTAAAATTATTGTACTATTTTGTTAATTTCAATATTCTCTATCTGTCATATATTTGCTGTCGTGAAATTCGTTGATTTGTTGGAGGTGATGTCTATGAGTTCCAAATACCACCAGTATTTCGATCAAGGTTGATTTACCTTTCGCGTTGTTTGCGGGGAGTCGATTGAGGTGTGTTGAATTGGACAAGGTTATGTTGGATTTGAGTGACAGTTGAGTTCAAAGGAGAACCGAATCCAAGGGGCAATTAATGCGTTGTGTGGACCAACGAGTTATCCCGGCTTTATTGGGTTAAAAAAAGATGATCTATTCCAATACAATCAGGCTTATAAAACGTTGGGAAGTGGGAGTGGTTTTTCATTAAACAATTAAGCAGATGCATTTGCATTGACCAGCAATAGCTAAGATCCAATT